ATTCATTGTTGTATCAACCTCGTCTTCCTAGTTCAAGTGTGTCATCTGTATCATCGACACCGACAACACCAGGATTTCCTGCTTCAGCCAATCTATCATCGTCAAATTTCACGGTTTTACAGCGTCATATTGAATTATGTAAAGGTGTTTTAATCGTGTTAACTATGGCTGGCCGTACATTAGGCTCTCAATTTTCAGAAGAAACTTGGCTTGTACTTTTAAAAGTAGTTTTGGGAATCACGGATGGTTTATTACAAGAACCACTAGGAATAACAATTCCAGAGGGAAATCTTGAGAAAAAAGCCGCTGCTAACATGGCAGATGAATTATGTGAACATTTATTGAGAGTACTTTTCGAATTATGGTTAAGATCAAAAATTCGAAATGTTGAAATGTGGGACATATTTAAAAGATGCTTTAATAAATGGACACACAGGCAACCTCCATTATCGCAATGGGATGCGGCAACTCTAGCTTTAACTCAACGAGTTATAAGATTATTATATGGGCCAAAGGGAGGTGCAGATATGGTGAATATTTCAGTTGGTGGCTATAATGTGGGATTAGACCTTCCAACAGATTTTGTATACTTTGCTTGGTATCGGATGGTTTATTTAATAAGTAATCCATGCATATTACCGTCAGCTAATTTTACTTTGGCACTTTCTGGTATTGGGAAAATTATTGAATCCTTTCAAAGAGTTGGGCAAACATATGATCAGAAATCTGCTCAAAACGATACTGAAGGTTCTCTTATGTCAATACCTGATGGTAATACATTATTGCGCATGTTTGGATCTTGGTTATTTCAGGCATGTTCAATAAAACGTGCAGATTCGGATGTTAAACAAGGGAGAGCAGAAGCTTATGGTATTCTCTGTAAAATATTTTGTCTACCTCAACGCCGTGAAAAGTTTTTGAGACATTATATTACCCAATTCTATCGAGCTTTAACGGAAGGTTTACGTACAGATAGTTGCTTACCAGTAATTTTGACGAACACAACTTCACTTTTTGCTACAGAACTTGAGGGTGTCAGAATGATGGTTCCTGATTTTGTTGTAGGCATTAAAATGATTTTACCAAGGTTGGCACCTGGCTTTGAAACCGATATACCTTTGGAAGAGTTGAGACTTGCGGCAATAAAAATTGCAAGTACGATTATGTGTTTGCCTAATCATTTTGAAAAGGTTTCGTTAAGGGAAAACTGGAATGTGGGGTTACATCATAATGGAGATAAGCTCGTTAATAATGACCCTGACGAGATTGTTATCAATGAACTTGTAAGTTTGACATTATTCTATTTATAGAAAGTTGTTGGATATTCCTGACACGTTGTTATATTGCATTTTGTGAGAACAGATACGAGTTTTATATTCTGAAGAAGATGATACAAATGATAAGAATTTGACAGAACCATTTACTACCGTAAGACAATTAATTATATGCATAAATTTGTAATTATTAATATAAATAATAAAAATTTCTCTCTCCTTTATTGTTCCAGCTTAAATTTTACATACTTGAGTTACTTTTGACATCTCTCAAAACAGAGAAATCCTCTTATAATCTCAGATACCTCCTTCATTTAATTAATGTATATGTGGCTGAAGATGTAGCATTTTGTCCAGGTTTGGTTGGACTTGTAGTAAAGTCAATTCAAGAAAAGGTTATAAATTTATGCATTTATTTTTATTTTTATTATTATTATTATTATTTTTTGAGAAGTGACCTTTTATTTACTCTCATATTTTCATATAAAAGATACTTACCATGAATCTTCCATCGGACGTTACCTTATATGCTTTTGACGTTTTAAAAGATTTTGTGAGTTTGTATGAATACGTTCAAAGGGATAGTAAGGTAAGACAATTTGAAACATTATTATTATGTAACATAAATATAAGTTTATTAATGTAAATATTTTTATAGAATTGTGCAAGAGAATTAGTTCTTGCTTTCTCGCGTTATATCGACATGATGATCTCGGGAAGTGGTGGAGGATTGGTAAGCAGAACGACTTTATAAATTAATTTTTTTTAGGGGAGTTTCTTTTAAACTATTATCTAATCTTATTGCGTGTAATTTAGTCAATTACGTTTCATTTAGTTGAACGTGCCTATGACTGCATGATGCGTTGGATTCTTATTGGACAATGGATAGTCGGTGACCGTGACTGTCATGAAGCTGTCATAGCGACAATCAGTCGAGGAATTTCCATAACTCCAAATAATGATGATGAATCTTCACAATCAAATTCTCCGAATGATAAGAAGAAGAATCGTAGAGATACAGCTCCAAATAAGCTTTTTGCTCCTCGAGCGAATAAGAATATTGTCACTAATAATGAAAATACTTCACATAACGGACAAAATCGATATGGAAAGAGAGGTGAAGTTGCTGTAAAGATTGCTGCCGAAATTGCAATGGCACAATTCGTCAATCACCTTGGAAACTTCCCCGCATGGGGTGATAATATTGGTCCAAGCAGGATATCAACTCTTTTTAATGATGATTTGGAATTGGCAAAAACACAAATTTCTGATGCTAGAGATTTTGATGGATTATCAATACCCGAACTAGTTAGGTACTTTTTAATCGATGGTAGGGTTTTGGTTGGATTTGTGGAGGTGCCCAAGCATCCTATATGGACTGCTGGGGAGGACACAAGAACGCCTGGTTCTCCAGGGTCACCTGATACATATTCTACACCAACCGCCACGGAAACTCCTGCATCACCTGTTTCTCCAGGTACACCTAGAGCATCGATGTCACAATCTTACCTTCAAGATAATTCAAATGTGGCTGATTCTAACCCCTCGGTTATTATAGTGATGCGTGATAGTACTGGGAAATACTCTTGGACTGCACGTATGGTTTATAAAACGCAGACTGATGATGATAATGATCAAAAGAATTCATCTTCAAGTACAATAGATATAGACAATTATGATAGGATATTACAGTCAACTTCGCCATCTGTTCCACTCCTTCATACAGATACCACGCAACACACATACCAAGATAATAATTGTCGTGCAAATGTTCCTCGTATCGTTAGTTTTAATGAACATCAAATTCCAAAAGTTGACAAAATATTTGAAGAAGGGAGTGATAGTTGGAGAGCTTATAATGCTGTCAGGAAACTTACTCAGAGACAAAAAGAGGAAGAAGAACGGGCGTTAGAAGAAAAGCAACGTGTAAAAACAAGTCATCAAAAGTAAGAAGTGGATTTCTTTTCTATGAAATTATTATGTTTTTTAGTATTGTTTCTAATTATCGAAATATTTTAAATTTAGTTATAAAGCTATTCCTGCCGGATCTAATACGAACTTGGAAAGGTATTTTACTGATAATTTGATTCAATTATTCATTTAACTTTGTGTATACTCAATCTAAAATTACATAATACAACTTAGTCCACAAGCATTTCGTTTATTCATGTCACAAATAGGATTATTGTCATTAGAAAATCGACATCGAATGATTCCATTACGAATTTCAGAAAAGCTTGTTGGAGATTTGGAGAAACTGGATCAATTAAACGAGTATGTCAATGAAATTGATTTAATAAAATACTTTTAACTTATCGCATTTGTTATTAATAATATTCATATAATAGACGGGATTGTTTTAGTGCTTCGGTTTATTATGTTCGATCAGGAGCGGAAGAATATGATCATATTATAAACCCTCCCTCAATAAGTGAGGATTTTGAAAAGTTTTTGAATAGTTTAGGATGGCCGGTAATTAATATAGTGATTTTTATACATTAAATGATACAAGAATTTATCTTCATTATTTTAAAACAATTTAGGTATCTCTTGATGTACATTCCGGATATCAAGCAAAACTTAGTTCAGCTTTTTGTAAAACAGCACCATACTTTGCTGATAGAACTGTTGAAGTAATTTTTAATGTTCCTTATTTAATACATACACAATCACCTGATTCACCAATGGAATCTTTATTGAACATAATTAAAAGTATAACTGTAGATGATTTAGTATGTATTGCATGGGTTGAGGATATAATATCTATGGATGATTTACCTCAAAAAATAGGACAATCTGTTTTAGTATATATATTTATTCATCCATTACAAAATGCAACTGGATTATATTGGATAAAAATCGTTACTCCTACACTTGCATATCAAGGTGGTTTAAACGAAAAGAAAGGAGGAAAAGGCAGAGTTAGCTGGAGTGCTGATTCCACAAAATCAGTAGAAAATCCTTTGGTAAGTTAAATATCGTTAAAGATGATTCTTATATTTATTTTTTTTCATATTTGATTTGGAAATAATTCTCCCCCTCTTTTTTTTTAGTTATTTGGTCCATTGGTTGATGGTATGATTATAAGCAGGCATACGTTAGGGTTACTTGTAAGAAATACGACGATATCTGCACATGAATCATGCAAAAATTTCATGGAAACACATAGTAGATCGTATGTGTAATATTAATAATAATCTTTTGTTTTTAATAGTTAAATCTGACAATTAATAATAATTTTAAACCCTTTTTATTAGATATGCAACGAGAAGACAATTTATTGAAGAAATGTATCATAGATATAAAAGTAGTCTTTCTATTTCAGAGTAAGTATATGAAATTTATAAAATTTATTTATAATGAAATCAAATTATTATATTATTAACTGTTTTATTACTATTTACAATTAGTTTTTATTCAGAGATATTTTTAACTTAGCAAGTATTTATATAATAATTAGTTAATACTTTACATTCGATTTAATAAATTATAATTCAGGAAATGGCTAAAATTTTAACCAAAGGGAGAATAACCGCAAATCGAACCGGTGATGTCTACCGTAATATTTATTTAAAAAAAAAACTTAATAAAAAATTGAAATTAATTTTGTATATATTCAAATCTCATGAAAAAAATATAATTTATTAAATATAAAAAAAAAAAAAAAAAAAAATAGCATTTTTTTTTAATTATCTATCAATTGATTAAATAAAATGATGATTAGTCCTATATTAAAGTTTTTTCAAGCTTCTTAATATCATCAAATAAATCTAATAAAGTAGCAGAAGACCATGCTTGTGTAGGACATGCATGATAACATTCTGCTCCATTTGCATTAGTAAGTTCAGGTAACCCGGCAAATGGCGTTGTTTCAATTATTTTACGATGCGGTAAAAGATGTTGCGTTATATCATGAATTGTTTCATGCGGCTATTTTAAATAAAAGTTATATAAAATTTGTAAAAAAAAAAGAAAACAAAAAGAACCATTCAAATAAAAGTATTCAAACTCACACTTTCTTTTCCTTTTCCAACTTGAATGTCAAAGTATAGGTAAGCACGAAGGAAATATCCGGTGCACCATAACCACTCCTATAAAATAATAATAATAATAATAATCATCAAAAATATTAAAAACTACAAAGAACAAAAACCATAGACACTTACAGGTCCCTGATGATAATTCCACCCTTTAGCAATCGATTTATCGTCACTATCATTATTGTTATCATAGAATCCACGATATGCCCAATCTTTGGGATCTAATGTACGCATACCCAATGGACCGGCAAGCACTTCACGTGCAATATTCAAGGCTTGTAATGCATGGTGATTATCAAATAGTTCAGGTGCCTAATTTTAAAAAAACTATATTAGGTAAAAAAAAAAAAAATTTGATGATTGTGATTGTGATTTGAAAAACTTCTACTTACCACTACAAGAGCGATAGGAAAATTTGGTCGTAATTGATAATCTTCGTATTCTTTTGAAGCCTTGTATAAATCTTTATATATTCCTCTACGATTTATCAATTTTGTGTTCAATTTATATTTTGAATCATCAACGGGATCTAAAAATAAGGTAAAATGTGAGCAAAAAAATAATTGATAACAAGTATAAAAAAAAATTAATCTTGTTATCCAACTAAAACTTACCTATAGGAATGTAAAAACATTTTTCAAATGACTTTTGGATTAAATCATTCCATTCGGCAAATGTTACAAATTTCCTGGATTGGTCATCTAGATAAATAAAATTAATAACAAATTTTTTTTTTTTGAAACTTACATGTATATATTTTTTTCCCCATAAAAATTAAACCGAAAATACCTTGTAATTCCACCCCCTTCCAAGGATAATAACCTTGTTGATTCAATTCAGTAACCCATCTCAAAGTAGATTTCAACAATCCGATTATCTCAACAGCAGCACCATCTCTAGGCGTTGCTGGTATTCCTTTATTACCAGCCTTTTCAGATTCACCCATTTTATCCATCCAAGTACCACAATTAAATTTATTACCACCAAATAATAATCCAGTTTCCCAATCTACCTGAATATCAATTTGAAATCCTTCTTCTGACATAGCATGATCCAAATTGGGACCTGCGTTCCATTCTTTAAAATGAATTCCTCTAGCATGTCTTTCCAAAATTTCTTGCATAATCTCTAATATAGTACTTTCATATTTATAAGCTAAAGGATCATCTGCTTCGACAACATCATCATTCTTTGGAAATCTTCGTAGAACAGATGTTTTAAGAAATTCTAATCCTTCAGATGAGAATTTACAGTAATCTTGAATAGATTGAAGAAACCACCATGTAGCGTCACGACAGTTAAATCTTGGACGACGAGCAGCGTCCAATAAGTTTGGAATTAACCCATGTTTAAGTACACTAGCAAATCCAAGTATATGTTTTTTTGCTGCATCATAATTTCCTGTAGTTATAAATAAACCTCGTAATGAAATAAAAACATCACGTCCCCAACATCTCATATGCTTAAAAGTAAAGTGAGGTAATCCAGCAGCCATTGATGGACCAATCATTTTAGGATGTAGACCTGTAGAAAGCACAGTACCATACATCTGTATAGAACATAATGCAAGTGATTGAATAAATGGTCCACCTTCTTGTACAAAAGGCGATAATTGTTCTAATACACGTTTTGTAGCAGCTGTATATGTTGTTTTAATAACAAGTGCAAAATATTTAGGTATCAAGAAACTTGGTGCAGTTTTAATTGCATCAAACCTTTCTTTATACCATAGATTTAACTTTTGAAGTCTTGGTACAATTTCTAAATACCTAAATTATAGTAATAACAATATATTATTATATACACATGTATAAAATATTTTTTAACCAAAATAACTTTAACTAATAGTTAATATAATTTTTATACCTTTCGAGTCGATTTGCTACATAATCCAATGCCCAATGACCTTCACGTAAATTAGAGCAAAATGGATGTCCCAAATCATTATGACTCATTATATTTCTTAATACTGACATAAAACCTTCTAAACCACAATATGGAAGATCTCCATATCCAGGAATATTATAGACGCTGTGACCAGGTACAACATCATTTTCTTCTCCAGCACATCGATATAATACAATATTTAAATCAACTAAATCCAATTCTTGAAAAGGTTCTTCAATATCTGATGTCAAAAATTCATCCAACCCATTATGTTGTTTAGATACTGATGTTTTCAATAACATAACGCTACCTAAAGGAAATTCTTTTGGTAAAACAACTTCCGTATAATGACCAAGGTTGTCGGAAGCTTCACGTAAAATCGGTGTATTAAGTGATTTAAGAGAAGCAGGAAGTCCATAAAGATAATTTTTGTCAGGAGTAAATTCTTGAGGACGCACATCCAAACATGTAGAAAACAGCAATTCTGCTTTAGTCCCTCTTAATTTTATAGGAGATACTATTTTTTTTTAAAAAAAAACACGTTTATAAATAAATAAAAAATAAAATTGATGAAATAAAGATTTTAAACATAACTTACAATCACCATGTTTTATTACCGAATTGGAAAATGCACAATGTGCGACTAATAAATAACCTTTATGCGTATGAGGATGGCATCTATGCACGACAATATACTATAATAAAAGAAAATTTAATTTATATAAAAAAAGTTTTTATAATTAAAGATTATTATACTAACATCATTTTCATGATGCACATGAGTTTCATTATATCCATCTAAAGCCATTTCAGTATGTAAATGTTGCAACACCTTTTTAACTATTTTTTTTTTTTTTTTTTTTTTTTTTAAAAAAAAAAAACGGGAAAATTTTGTTTTAACTTAATTAAATAAATATATCAGATTAATATAAAATTACCTCTTCCGATACCAATATCTAAAGGTTTCTTATATATCGCGTAAGGTCTTGTTTCTTTTACCAAATCTATAATTTCTGGATAAACTTCATCATACCCTTTAACACTACCAACAGCACAAGCACTCATTTCCACAAGCGCACCATTGGATAAAGTATCCTCTGCAATACGTTTTTGATGAGGAGTTTCATTATCATGAGTACAATCCATGAAAAGTGCATGTGGTTTTGATCCAAATACAGGTGTAATAAGACATGGTACATCTAATTTTTCATTTAGACTTTTACAAGTAGATTTATGGGTAATACATTCAGTATCCATAGAGCCTTTATATTAATATAATTTTGTTAATAATTTTATTATAAATTTCATTTTTTTAAAAAAAAATTTATTTACCAATTGGTTTTGCTCCATGCCGGTGAACTAAACGACTTAATTCACGTGAATCCCACGCTTGCATAGCTTCTCTGATAAGGGAATTTATTCCAAGTCTGCTTACAAATTTGATATCCATTTCTTCTGAACCTGTGAATAATTCCGCAAATACATATAAATTTGGACGAATCTGACGTGCCGCATCAAGAAGATATTGTGCGACATGAATTGGGGTAGAATGACAATTATCAATTCTAAATCCATGAAATAGGTTGGCAAGTTGGATAGTATATTTCTTCATGTGATCCCATAACCATGGTGAATCATCCTTTAAAAGAAAATAATAAACTTGTTAGAAGTAATCAATAAAATTTAATAACGTATAATATTAGAAAACTTACTCTACATTTTCCATATCGTAACTTAACACAATCACCCCATACTATAACTTCTCTTCTTAAATAAGCAAATGATTTATTACTTGCAAAATCTTGTAATGGATTTGCGTTCCAAATCCAACCATTATTTGCAACAACCAATGCACCCTTTGGATGTTTCTTTGTATGCTCATTCAATGGAATTTGTGTAAAATAATGTTCAGTGAGAGTATACCTTCATAATATTAATATGAAATAAATTGTAATAAGAACTTTCCCTCTTTAAGATAAATTTCAAATAAATTTCAAATAAATAAAATCAAATCTTTACTTTTTATGGATTTCTCCCTGCTTAGGACCATTAGGGTCAAGTCGCAAGTACTTAATCCTATTCCATAAATTATCAAGAATAGTAGTAACTTCATCATCATATAAAATATAAAAAGGCAAATTAATTTCATTAACAAGTGCCTCAAATTTTTTAATCATTTGTTCCATAAGTTTTAATTTGTCCTGTTTATCTGTAGCGTTGACATCCGATTCTTCATTTGAATTCTGTTTTGCTGTAATATTGACATCATATTCTTCATTTGAATACTGTTTTCCTGTAACTTTGACATCCGTTGAATTCGGTTTTTCCGATTTGTCATCAGCCAAATTTACAAATCTATCTATCTTCTTGATATCACCATCTGATATTTTATTTGAAACTAATTTTTTGGTTTTGGTTGAGTTTTCATCCACTATAATACCATCGACACATTTGTGACTTTTCTCAGATTTAATCAAACTGAGAACAAATGTAATAGAACTCTCACAGTTCATCTTTTTAAAAAATCTATGACCAAAGGTTCCTTTGTAATAAAGAGCCTTATCCTTTAACAATTTAGCTTGCTCTTTAAGAGATAAGGCAGCAAGATCAATATCTTCACGAGAAGATGGCCACGGTTTGTTTAATGCATCTTTAAATTCATTTACAGCTTCTTTAACATCTATGACATAGTATTCCCACAAGCGAAGTTTATTAATCACGTGCTCTTTAATACCATCAACAATTAAATCCAAATCTTCCTCGTTCTTAATCAATGTTGGAAACCCCAAATTAGCAAGTTTAGAAGAAAATTCAAGTAATGAAGCATCAAGTTCATAAGCAGGAGTTAAATGAGGCGAATTAATCAAGTTATATCCTAAAATTAAAAAATATAAACGGTGTTAAATGTGCTTTATCATCATCGTTATCAAATATGCAATTTATCACGTACCAGCTTCGGGATGTTCTTCAAGCCAGTTACTATTACAAGCAGTATGATTCCAAACAACATCAGTAACGCTGAGAATTCCATATTCTTGCTCAATTCTCTTTATTGTTTTTTGAACAATTTCAATATTTTCATTGGGATTCTTCGAATAATCTTCAGGTTCAAATAAATCATTCGAAAAAGATAATTGATCATATATGGAGTAAGGTGAATTAGAAAGACCACGCGTTTGCATTGGTACAAAATGAATCATATTATATCCAAGATCGGATATAGCTTTAATGTGAGGATCCCATTCCGAAAGTTTTCCTAGGAGTTTAGGAAGAACTGATTGAATAACTATGCCATCGAGTGGAAGTGCAACCGCTGGCTCCGAAGAAATTGGCTCAGATGATAGTATTCGATGTCGTGGAATGACATGTAATAGCGGATCAACCGTAAAATAACATTTTACAGAAGATTTCGTTAATTTTGAATCTAATCCTTTATATTCCACGTAGAATTCAAAGGCACCTGATCTTTGAATGACAATGTCGTTATTGAGAGGTCTCGTGAATTCAATTGGAAATCTATTATTATAGTTTTAATTGGAAGATCAGAAATTTGTAATTCATGGATCATGGAAAATGAATACATATTGATAAAATAAATGATAAGAAAAAAAATGGCGGTTGAAAATCACAGGAATTTTTTTTTTTTAAACAAAATATTTATTTACTTTTTAAACATTTAAGCCTTGAAGCAAAGAATCATAATATTTTATGGAATTTAATAATTGGAAATGATGAAAAGTTTAGTGAAGTATGATAACTAAAATAATAGCTCATATTCTTTTTTATTTAAAAGTATTCGATAAATCTTTTAAAAGAATCCAAAATTAATGTAATTAACTTATAAGATTGTTGAGATTCAATATTTATCACCGCCATTTTTTTTTATATTATACCTTTTTGAATGAAATTTGGCTCTATCAAACTCTGAGCTACAATCGAGATTAAAATAAATAAAATTAAACAATTGACCTCGGAAATAACAAGAACATTGTAATTGTAAGATTGAGATTGAATTACCCATCTATTGGATAATTAGTGTAAAGAATTCCCCCGTGAGAAGCAATCGAACCGGCACGAATATTAAATCGTAATATATAAGGACTAACAGGTGGTGGAAGTCTTATATATTGGTTTTCTTTGCTAAGTGATCCATCGGCATCTAGTTCAAGTCGAAATACATTGATTAATTTAGTTTGACTTACTTTCCTTTTAGTCATTTTGAGATTTAGGAAAGACGATAAAAAAGTTTTTTGTAAAGATCAAAATTTTATAGAAAATTGAGTAAAATGGCAATTCATAACGATGTTTTCATATGGGATCGGCATTTTTATTGGCGGGTTTCTCCCATTGTTACACGATAATTATATCATTATTACATTTACTTTATAGTTCAAAGGAAAAAAAACGGTTCGTGAATCATTTAATTTTTTAATTTTTGTGCCTTTTCCTTGTTATTTTGAATGAATTATGTTCGTAGTGGTTCTTACTTTTGGAGACTTCGCAATTTATCTATTTGTATTATTTTATATTGATTAAATTATGAGAATTATATAATAATAATATACTGAACCTTAATCTTCTGATTCAATATTAAAATGACATTTATGTAAAAAAGACTACTTTATTTTCATCAATGTAAGGAACAAATATATGACCGTGTGTTTCGATTTAATTTATAAATTGACGAATCAAAACGAAATATTTCATCAGATTTAATATCGATATTGTAAAATAATTATTATTTGAATGCCGGACATGTCGAAATTATTGATCTTCTGTCAATGCCAACACTGTCATAAAAAAACTTAAAATATACTTGTTATTACTATCCATAGCATGCAAAATTTTTCATCAGACAAAGATTATTAAACCCCGAAACTTCAAAAGTCAAACTATACCAATCATAACAAGGTAAGCAATTAATTAACGCACATTTATCGTAAGGGATGGAAAGTTGTGACAACACGTCTTGGAATAGAGTTAAAGCACAATGTGCAAGCTCACGCTCCATTTCACTATTTATTGAAGCACGGGGATTTAGTCAAGATGATAATTATTTTCTCTATCCGTGCTCGCAAAGGTGTCATTAACCCGCTCTGACTCCTTCGGAGGGCTTTGCAACAAATTTATTTTTAGTTAATTATTAACAATTCGTCCAGATAGGCAATATTAATTAGATGCAATTCATAATGTGACAGGTTACATACAGTATATACGCATTGACCATTTTTAGATTTCCCGATTTTCATCTGTCAAATTGGCGCAGTATATTCTGACAAATTGAAAATATTTAGAGCATCATGATGAATATAATGGTAAGTGTGTCTTTTTTCTTTAAATTTTGCTACGGATATTGGAAATCACAATTTTCTAATATATACATGAATTTAAGATACTGTTTACTCAATTCGAGAAGGTTGCAAAAATATATATGATCGAAAATTGAGCCCTATTTCGAATTATTGAAAATTTAATTATTTATGCGAAAACCGATTTCTCATATATAATCAATACCCAATGATTTATCAAAATTTGTCTTATGCAAAAACGATCAAAGCAGAAATCGATCAACTCGACTTTACTCATGATGAAAAATACGTTTACGTTGTTAGTTGCAAGATTAACATTATTAAAAGATCGTATTCGATTCGTTATATTTGTTAACTTTATTAAATTTGTTATATTTGATAGATTTATTTTATTTATTATATTTATCATATTTATTGGTTATACCACGATTGCCCGAATGCTAATTTCCCGAATATACCTTTTCCCGAACATCTAATTTCCTGAATTCTGACATCCTGAACATTCAATTTCCCGAATTCTGACATCCCGAATACCCCATATTCCCGAGTCCCCTTATCCCGAATAGACATTCTGTTGGATTATACTTTGAAGATTTTAGGTATTTGCAGTCTCACAAATAATAGTTGGCCATGGTTTGTCCTACAAATACATATGATTAGATCAATATTATTTTTATTCATTAAAGTTCAAGTTGAGAAATACCTCAGGTTCACTTAGATATTGAGTAGGATTAGGCAGACCTTTCGGTATAAACGAAACATCTGACTGTTTTTTATTAATGCTTATTAAAATTGATAAGCGAATTCTCCATATGCTACCTCATGATTCCCAAAGTTATAAACACGATATATTTTTATAATGTGATTTTATTTTCTTTAAGACAATTTTATTAATATCAATATGCGACGCGTAAAATTAATCATTATAACAATGACGAAATTCATAGATCGTTATCCTTTACTATTATTAATAAAATTTTTTTTTTTATATTTTTATTTTTTTTAACTTCGACGATATAATAAAGGAAGGTAACCTGAAAAGATTCTTCTTTAAAGTGTACCTGAAACTTGCGTTTGGAAAATATTGAAATGAAAATGATCATTGTGGCATTGTGAAGGCTGGGAAAGGTATTTCCATATCATGAGTTTCCGTCTTGTGTTTTAATATCACGTGGTTTAGAAAAATTTTGACATTGAAAATATTTTACCTTTATATTTATTTAATAATGCAATAACTTACATTTCTAAAAGAATCTTATTTTAGGATTAACCTTTGGAATTAAACTTTGAAATTTAGCTGCGCTATTTGTGATCATACTAAAACATCACAATGTAATAATAATGCTTAACAATGCATTTCATTATTCATGTTATTTTTGTAACCTTGATAAAGAATTCTTGATTAACTACTGTATTCTAATAAGCACGAAGTGTTTTTCATTCCCTTGACATGTTCAAAATAGAGTTTCAGGTTCTTTATAATTTAAAATCCATTTTATTGTATTATGGTCAATTTCTGATTCATTATCAATTTGTTTCAGTAAAAATAACGAGAGATAAATTTATTTGGATTTTGAAATGATCTATAATGTTTATGATAGTAAAGAAAAAATTTTTTTCTAGTAATCAAGTGTAACAATATTTTAATAATTTATATAAAATAATTATAATAAAAGACAATCTTTACTTTATTAATTAAAAATAAAATGAAAATTTAAATCACAGATAAACAATGATAATCAAAGAGAAATATTATGCGCTATTCCTCTTAAAAAATCAACAAGTGTGTAATCATCACGACTATTAAAAACATTTAAAATGTGATTTTTACGAATAATTTGATGCCTATATTTGGGTATTGAAGGTTCTTCACGAAGGATATTTTCTATTTGCAATTGAGTTTGGTATTGTTCAGTTCGCATTTCTTCAATAATTGTATAAACATCTACACGTTTTTTCCAATTAATGTAAGCCATTGTTGATGCCATCCTTCAACATTTTGTGTTCTTGGATGATTATTTTCAATAAGATCGTATATAGACCAAAAGTTTGGTGGATTTCAGCGCTCAGTTATATTATTTCTAAAAACTCTTCGAGTATGTAATTATCTTCAAAATATTGTACAACTGCAAGTGCATTTGAAGGCATTAAAGTTGGTTAAATGCATCTGGAATTTCAGATGATGTAATCCCAATTTTTTTAAAATTTCAAGGCTTTGGTTTTGTTCATATTCCGCTTATGACTGTCCAAACCTGGTTTTTCCAGTTTTTCCATCAGGGATTTTAGGTATCACTGGAAAATCCCATTTGTCCTGGTATTTCCACTGGACAAATCCCAAAGGTTTGGGTTTGAACGGCAAGTATAGGCATATTATCAAAAGAAGTAATAGATACTTATTTAGATATCGTTTTCGAACCTATTATATTACTGTACATACTTTAACATTCATTTTTTATAGATCGAAAATGAGATCGTTTCTCTTTTTATCAAATCGAGGATTATATGGATTATTTAATATTTAAATGATTTTTATCTTTCATATATAAACAAGCATTTATATCGAAATCATTTATAGATTCATATGAGAAATTTGTGCTTTATTCCATAAATTATGTGAAATCTGTATTTGGTTGAATAACACATAATATTCCTCTGACCTTCACCTCTTCACATTTCATACATTCGAAGGGAATCAAAAAGAAATCCAATTCAATCGGATCAGGGAGAAGTTGTCGAGGAATTACAATATGAGGTAATTTATCGTGATACAA